CGCGCGCGATGGTTTCTTCCTCGTTCTTCTCCTATCCTCACCTCTACTTACACATACTTACTTACACGCGCTACATTACCACATATGCCAAGAGACCAATCGGGATCTTAGAGCGTGTCCCGGCTGGGGAGGTACCCCGCTGGTGGGAGATACCCGTTTGGAAAACACCGCTAGCCGACCGTAGGTCGGCGTCAGATCTCCCCATCCGCTTTCTCCCGAGAAAAAATGCACTGTACTTACGGGACTAATGATATTAGCAGTTGACGTGCCCGGAATCACTAATGAATCAATTTAAACCGATTCGAAAATTACTCCCGGTCTTTTGACTTCTGTTCAGAGAACGCTCGAGATTGTCGGGTTGTGAAAGACCCCTTGGCTTCAGTTTGACTAGTGAAGGGACAGATCAGTAAGGGCCATTTGATGAGAGTCTGCTGGTACCTGAGCACCTGCGATGTTTTAGCATGATGCTCATCGTCATGCAGCAATTTTATTCGGCTATATTTCAAGGCAGACCAGAAGCGTGGTCTAAAGAAGGATGCTTGTTTGATGCGCAGATGTAGTATCGTTTGTATTGTTGTAGTAAAAGTGGTAGGTAGTTATTCAGTGTTCATCTCACTGCAATGATCCAGTAAAATACGAATAAGACAGCTTGGAATGTGGAATGTGCTTTTCCTCAATACGTCAGTACGTAGTTAATAGTTTAGGACGTAAAATAAATATATTTAAGATTTACTGTGGAGCGCCGCCCTTTTTAGAGGAAATGAACGAAACTTTGTTTTGCTTGCGAAATTGATGCGCAATCTCTCGTTAAGATATCCCACAATCCACACCAAGAAGTTCAAACAGATCTAACATACAGAACGTACGAGTGTACTATTAGTTACACATTTACTTTTGGTTCCGAAAATATAATAAATCATTTCGTGCCTGGGGCCCTTCAGGAGTTGTATTAAACCTTTTTGGCCCTTCTATTTCTTAAGGCTGTGCACCTCTGATTTACGGCGAGAGGGTGATTTATAAATTGCGTGCTTAGAAAATGCTCAGGGTAATCAATTGCATAAATCGACAGTGTTTTATTCAATCCCTTTGGTAGAGGAGATAAGCAGCAAAACTTGTGAAAGCAGAAAGCTTACCTTTTCGATTCTTGTTTTTGTATCTTTTATAACTTTGAAGACAATCTTGTCTAATTTTCCGTTCGATCATGATCGTGTTAGTAATTTAGATAGTATCTAATAGTAATATTTGTTTAACGTGATCTAGTAATAATTAAAAATGTAGTATACAAAATACATGGTTAAGTCAATATAGCTGAAAATTGTTGTGGTAAGTCGAGCATACCGTGAAGCCATTCAATGTAAAGAGGCTGTATACACTAGAATGGTTCGTTTTGGGTTGGTATCAACCCAATTCTGGTGTACATTCCATGTGGAGAAGAGAGCATTACAGGGTAGTTTGCTTATTTTTGCGGAACATTCCGTGACACACCTGGCGAAGGATCACAAAATGACACTATCGGGAAAGTGGTTTGCGACTACACGCGTCTTTTTCTTTCGAACCCAGAAAAAATCAGTGACGACAAGATAGGCTGTGCTTACCTATTCAGGTGAATACTTGCGAGTTTTGAAAGCATTTTTCATCTCAAAATATAAAATGAGCAGTTCATAACGAGCTGGTTATATTCGCAGTTCATTCTGCATCGATTTCGCCTCTTCGGGAGGCGAATGTAGACACGTTCGTATGTTGAATCTTTTCACGCTTCACTTATTCTGAGTATAGTTCGTACAAAATATTCACTCAATCCACGCGCGTTCTGTTTACGCTGAATGATGCTCAACGTAAGATTTAGAATTCCTATTGTATTAGCAACGTGATTCTTGTTTAATTAGAATGTAACAAGAAAGTTATAAATGTTAACAAAGTATTGTTTTATTTTTAAATTAATACATTGATGATTTTTGGTGGGTGTTTATTGATATTTTAGGTTTAAATATGTAATTACATTAATATCATAAATGATATAGCAAACTAGCTTTCGAAACCCCGCATAGCAAAGGTATTAATTTATCGCAATCATGTATCAAACAGCTTTCATGGTGATGCCCGCGTTTTGTGGAAAAAGCATGTTTTAACAATTGATACAGTATTGTAGTTGGCCTGCGTGAACATAGATATATTTTTTGTAAAAACAAAACAAAACACTGTTAGTTAACGTAGATTAAGTATTTCGTAAATCTTTTCTCGCCTTAACAATGTAGATAAGAGACAAATTTTGGACAATATGTCAACATACTCCTACAATAAGTACGGTTGTACATCGTCCTGGTTAGAAAAATGCATAAAATTAATTCCGTAATAAGGGTGTTCCAGAGAGAATTTGAAGAGAAGGTGCTGTTACAGTTAGAATCGTCTTCACCATACATTTCTTTAAAAAAATACTTTTTTACATTGTAAAATTCGTCTTGGGATAAATGTCTAAAGAATTCTTGGATTATGATGCGATTAATAAGTAGAAATACATTCTTGGCTATCCGGGATGAGCCACGTCTCCGTCAAATGAACTGACGTTTCGGCCATCTTGCTGTGGCCTTCCTCAGAGCTATTCTGCTCGTAGTAATACGTGTGTTTTGCTTAAATTGAGTAAAATTAGCAAAGCAACCAGGAGGGAACATGGATCTCCTGAACCCCTCCCCCAGACCCGCCACTGAAATCTCTCTTGTCTACACGGATGTGAATCAACACTCGAAATTGGATGGGAAACTGAAGGTACCCAAATTGAAGATCGGATCGTCAAATTACTATTTGGCGAGATTACCAAATTTCTGAAATCTTGGGTAGTATATTTTTGGTATGCTTTTGCATTTCTTCAGAGTGCATGCAAGTGTGGCGTACTCAGACCTTCTCCAGTTATTTCCGGCACTGGAAATTCGGTGAGGGATTCAGAAGACGACTTCTACAGATGCCGTGTTAGCTCGATGGTAATAGGTAACTTAGTTAGAAGACCCAGAAGACAACTAGACAAACAGCACAAATTAAGAAATATTAATTATTGAATTAATCAGAAATTTTAAGTTAATCAGTCTATTTGTTAATAATTCAAGAAAATCTAAGCACCGTTTGTTAGTTTCCACCCTTGTATTCGCACTCATGCACACACGTACATACAAGTGCACTCGAGGAAATGTGCTCAAGCGTACGTATGATCGATACAAAATGAAGAAAACAAACAAAAAACAACACATTATGATATTAAAATCACATGACATAAATTAACACATAGTGATATACACAAATTGCACTATAAACCCCACACAGACGTCAGACTTGGTGTTGCACAGCATCAAACGAACTTTATAGGAAAGAGGAGAAATCCATATCATGAACGGGTCGTGGAACAGGACGGTCGGATGTGCAATCGGAAGGTCAGGTAACAGCAGCAGCCCACGTCGTTCACATTTGTGTCTCAGGTCAGCGCCTGCAGACGAAAGGATCCGGGCAAATGACTTTCGTAATAAAGTAAGAGTAAACCTTACCCAATACCAATCTGTTCCAGAGAAAGTTCCCTCTAACATCTGCCGCACAACTGCACTGCAGAGAAGATTAAGGACAATTCAGTTCGTGCTGACATGATCAACTGTGGGCGCCCCGGCGAAAACGTACTTTCGACTGGCCCCACCCCCGCACGAAAGGTTACAGCTGCGGCTCTGTCCTTTACATCAACACGGTACAAAAGACAACTCACTTGGAGATTGGGAAGTGTTAATATATGGGTTCTAGAAAATATACTGAATATTTAAAAATTATTTTCATTTTTTAAAATTTTAATTATATTAACAATATATTTAAATTATATTATTCTAATTATATTGAAATTCATCAGTTTTATTTATATTTTTACCCCAATGAAGATAAATCTACGGGTCGGAGGTATGACACGATGTCCATTTTTAATTAAAAATGAGATTATTGGAAAAATCATATTGGTTTCTGTTTCTCTACCCAGCTGACAACACTATGTCTTACATGAAGAATTGGCAGAGTTACAGTGCTTTTAAACAACGCCAAGTCTATTTCCAAGTCCAAAGTAAAACTTCTTCAAACTGATCTGTAAAATTTAGTAAATGTGACGTAGTGTCTTATACCTCCAACCCACAGAAATATTATTCCTTATTTCATGCACAAAATTTTTTGGAGAGCAGAAACGAACATGTGTGACTATTTACATCTTTACAGACAGACAGGAATTTATACTACTGAACTCCTTTCCTTGCACAAACAGAAAAGTGTTCAAATTTGCTGACAGTTTGTTTTGTCGTAAAACAAAGATCGAACCTTCAATGAGCGTTGTTATGTGGAATAATACAAACATTTTTTCTACTACCCTGAATTTTCAATTTGATATTGGTTTTGAAAAGAGGCAAATACTACAAAGAAAAACATGCAAACGTGTCTTTGACCCTTAGTAACGGCATGGAAATAACTGATGTTGCAGAATAGGGAAGGGATTGGTTTAGCTGAGTGATTATCACAAAACAATAAATTGGTAAATTGGTTCAAAAATAATACCATATAAGTAAAAATCGTGGATACCAAAAACTCCATTAATTGAATAATATATCTCTCCTAGGTGTTCTGGAGAAGTCTATTAAGAGAGTGATGCTAGTCTTGAAGCAAATTTGGACAGGAAATAATTGGTTTCTTTTGGAAAATTGAAAAGAGCGATGGATTTTAGAATGTGTAGTTATAATCGATTTCCACACCAATTGTTAGATAAATATTGCTATACTTCAAAATATTTTAGAATCATGCGCTCGTTGTAAGAAATTGTAATATTGATAGTGAACATCGTAAGTTCAGAACTTTATATTGGGTGGATTGCGAACGAGTTTAAACATTTAAGTAGTCGACGAATTGACCCAGATCGAGGCCATGCCTTAGGTCGTATTCTTATGTTAAACTCCTGGCCGAACATTTTTGCATAATTGAGCAAGTAGTGTACTTACGGTTCCATTATGCTCCTCAGGAAAAAAGCATTTCAGCTGACTGCCTCATAGCTGCCGCTTCTTTCTTAATGTTGCAGTCGGGTGTTGCAGAATATTTCGGTTATCCAATTATTGATGTAAAAGTCACGTGTAGTTTCTTAACGCGCGGAGTACGTACGGGTCAGATGAGTCAAAGTTCGAGTCAGTGATCAAAATGAGTCACGTGTGTTCGTGAAACGAAATGACAATACTGAATGTGTTTTTTCTCCGTTCTCCTAAATCTGTCGTATCTCGTAAATACAATGTTTGTAATTTTTACTATTGACTGGACTTTACTTGACTACTGATATCTGAAAGTTTCTAAATGCTGAACAGACACAATAGGGAGAGTTCTGTGATGCAACAGTTCTTGTAAGAAATCATTCACTGATAGACATAGAAAATGTTCGGGGAATAATTCTATAATAGTGTTGCAAAAACATACAAGAAAACAAGCATCCAGCTCAGAATGAACGTGATCCAAATAATCTCGTTTAGTTTCTTTTATCTCACTACACAAACAGAATCTTAAAACTAGTTCACTAAGAAGAAAGTATATTCTATCTGATTCGAGCAAGTTGCAACACCTGACATACAAAGTGTAATCCAGTCGCTGTAGTAACACTTAAACAATAACTTCTTAAAATGAAGCAATGTGTAGTCAGGGGCGACTGCTGGCACATACCCGTAAACCTCTTCCCGTCTCTCGCTTTAAGAAAACTCGAAAACACTAAATAATTTCTGTCGGAATTAATGTTCTCTTGTAGTACAGCTGCCCTTCACACAAGTAAAATTCGAAAAAGTTTTCGGAGTATGTATCGCAACATTTATACGTTGAAAAGAATGTCTTCCACGGCACTATTCACTACACCTAGCAACGTCGAAATTGGACCAAGAGCAAGTCCGGACAGACGCTGCGATGACAGGGTGAGGGGGAGTGGCGAGACACCGACTCGAAACGTTCCAAAAAACACACTTCTTCTCGCTCCTGCATCGCATGATCGTCACCGAACAAAACACCAGCACTGTCGCCGTCCGTCACACGCGGGCACCGGGCGCGCTAGGTGGCGTGCGGGGCAGGTCTGAACGCGCACGCGCTCGGGGGCGGGGGCGTCGGGCGGCGGTGGGCGATGTGCACGCGGGCGGCGTCGCGCGCACTGGCGGCTGCGGGGGCGGCGCCGGCGGCGGCCACAGCCGGCAGCGCGTCTCCCGCCCCGTCCCATGCCGTCCCGATGCCGGAACAAGCCGGAGCGCGGGACGTCACCGCTCTTGCTGCGCGCTGCTGCCTCGCCTGCGGCCTGGACACGCTGCAGCGGGCCGACCGGCGTTGAGGCCGCCGCCGCCGCCGCCCGCCCGCCACTCGGCGCCACGACTATCCCCCCAACACTGCCATTTCACAAGAACCCAATGCTCATAGCGCCCGCTCCCTCCGCACTCCACGCTCCCCCCCACCAACCTCGTCCCCCTGCCCACAGCCGAGGCGGTTCCGGCCGTTGAAATCTGCCTCTGTAATCACCTTCTTCTTCTCGCTTCCACCTCGCCGTTGGGGCCACCTTCTGCGTCGCGATTCACCTGCCAGCCCAGGCACGTCTCGTCACCGTCCCCGTCACCGCGGTGAGCGGTACAGGCGGGCGGCGCGGAGCGGTGCGGAGCAGCGCGGTCGCTCCCCCTTCTACCTCGCAGGTGGGGAAAGGAGGAGGGAGGGGAGCGTGACGTCACGGCGCTCAGCTGACTGGGCCGGCCGCTGCGCTGCACCGCGTGGCGAAGCGAGGGCTGCCGCTAGCCGGTCGTGCGGCCGGACGCGTGAGTGAGCGCGAGCCTGCCGACGGCCCGCGGGCTGCCGGAAGAGCCTTCTCGCTTGCGCGCCCCAAGCGGGCAGCGTTTCGGTAGCGGTTTGTTTGTTTTAAGAGGGGGATTTGTGTAATGGGTTCGAATGTAAATATTCACGGTGGTTTAGTACTTAAGGTGATACACGAGTTTTCATTGCAGCAGCTGTGTGCTATTGTTGATTTTGTGAAGCCGTAATTCTTCTTTTATTCAGGTAAACAAGTCACATTCCGCTTAATATACATATCATAAAGTGGGTGCAAAAACTGCGAATCGTACATCCGGCTCATTTTTCTACTTCGCGTGTGTTCTCAACTAAATTAAAACATTTCCAATTTTTAAAAAGAAGTTCCCATATTGCAGTACCATGAATAAACGAAATAAGGAAACGGACTGCGATTTGTTGACATTTCAGAAAATTTCGCCAAAATAACGAAAATTAACCAATTCCGAAAAAAAACTTCAAATGATGTTAAGATTAATATTGTACTGATCAATAAATCTCTAGCATTAGCGTAAGACAGACACGAAAAACATTTAAACTTTTTCGTAACTGAAAATTACATAACAATACTCATGGTAAAAAGAAAATGAACATGACTTTATTTTAAGATCTAATTCTGAAGAAAATGTACTTTTTAAAATTGCCTAAATGTCCCGCAAATTACGGGAAATCTACCCGTATTTTCAAAGACTTCTACATGACCTTTCTGAAACAGGCCTTTAAAGATCAGATTTCATTTTTATAAAAATATTTTCAATTTTGTGGTCGTAGTAAGATGCAAAATTTTCAGTTTTCGAATATTTTCGAAAATTCAACGAACATGAGACCGGCGCCAATTTTAAGCATTATTTGCTTTTTGAAAAAAAAATCAACTCTTTGAAGTCGTTTTAACATTTTCAAAATTTTGTAAAAAATATCTTGTGAAGTACTTCTCAAAATCAAAATACTCGATTCAAATTCTCAGAACTGCGTTCGGCCAGATGGATCCGGGAATTCAATTTTGATCAGGGAGATGGGCGGACGTTTCGCCGTTAACTAACTTTTCAGTCTCAGGGTCCCACCAAACGTGGATTCTGATTAGACGAAATAATTTACTACATGTAGGAACGAGACTGATACTTCTTTTCGTATCAGGGACCCATAAAGCGAGACATTTTATGTCGCAAACTTTTTTTTGCCGCATCATTACAAAACACTATAGTACGCAAGAAGAACACGAGAACGTTTAAATTGCGCCTAATTTAATAAATTTGTGTGCAATTATGAATTCCCAGAAGATATTTTAACTCGGAAATTAAAAACTGGTGTCTAAATGAATAAGTTTGTAAAACTTTTGTAAACCCGTTTGTAAAACGTTCGGAAAACGCGTCATTCACGTGTCTAAAATTCCGAAGTTTGCTGATGAAATGACGAAATGAGGGATGGGGCGTGTGTTGCGCGCTCTGGCGGGCGCGGAGGGGCTGATGCTACACGCTCGTCCCCCGAGCAGCGGAAGGAGCGCTCTGTAGCGCACCGGAAGCGCAGCCACCGATTCCTAATTTGAATGAGGAAGTGAGGGGGTCGAGCCGTTAACGAACGAGATGTATCGCGTGGAGCGGTTTGTATGCAAAGCGCATAAAAAGTAGCTCAAGCGGACGTGCAAATGGAAAGAATTCTCATCTTACGTTTTTTCTCAAATTGCATTTTGCTCTAATATTTTTCTATTTTTCACACTAATTTGACAGTGTTCTTATAAGAAAATAAAATTATTTCCACGCTTTGCAGGCAACTCGTATAGAGAAAGCGTTGGCGTCGATTTATTTTCTTTTCATTACTTCGTATTTGTTTCTTTTCTATTTTCTTACATCGTTTCACTGCCGTGCTGATGATGAATTGCATTTCATTCTGGGTACAGAATGTATTTTTTAAAATTATCTACATTTTTATTCAAGACCTGGGTTTAGTTTAGAGAGTCATTTCATTAAGTAAGTAATGCATGTCTATTTGCTCCGATTGGCCGGAAGGTCACGAGTGCTGCATGACATGACATATTAGATTTCGAGCGAATGGTGTGCACACTTCTATGTACGTGACGAATTGTGCGGGTTCGTTCATGAAGGATTTGAAACTTAGTGTTTCATCTCAGGAGTAATCTTGTAAGCGGTACAGGTGAAGTTTTTGACAATGGTTCTAAGACTAAATAAACGAACGCTCATTACTATTTTACAGGACACTTTGTCATTTTCAACGCATGTCATCTGTAAAAAAAATCATGTCACATTATGATAAAATCGAGATTTTTCATCGTATTCTTACAATTATTGGTTCATAAAAAAATGAACTGGTGGAACACAAACATACTTTAAATGAAATTAATGTAGCCGAAATCCGAAAGAAAATGTTGGAAACAATTTAAAAAAAATCAAGTTAATAAACAAGTTACAGCTTAGGAATTACAATTGCTAATTAGGGATGTTGTTAGCATTTAGAGTGCGAAATACGCGTATTAGAAAAGTACGAGGGTGAACCCATGATGCTGGAGTGGCCTTGTTGCGGTACTCTGTTGCCACAATTGCTCTCGCTGTTTAATATAGAGCTAGGGTTCAAATTAACAAGATGGATAACGGGGATTGTCCCCTCGGAGAGAGTCCGGAAAAGTCCCTGCCAGGGGCTTTTACTATACATAAGTTAGTGATGCATTTATCATTTTAACCCACAGCAAAGTCATTTGAAAATTAAAATACATTCAAACCCAAGGGAAGCTGTCTGCCCAAGGGAAGACGCTCTTCCTTTCTCAAGTCAATTCGTCCCCTCCACAGAGCAAACTCACAACCTGTGTAAACTCGTCAAATGGATATAACCAAATAAACGGTTTTATGAATAAGATAATTCTACTTCATTTTTGGTGTAATTGCTTCCAGCATTCTTTACATTAGTTAAAGTAATGAATTTTGTTGCCAAGTAGTTAAATGCATGTTTGATTGATACATATCAGTGCAATTTAAAAGTTTTGTTGTAATAACGATTTACCAGGTACAAAGATAGTACAATGGAAAGGAGAAACAGTTTGGTGGAACTTCAGTAAATAGTACAAAAAGCTAGAGCGTTTATGTGATCAGAAGTCATTGCCAGAACTGATAAAAATGCTTTTGCTTACTGTTTATGTAACTATATAAAATTCCTTTTCTTTTAATTTATAAAGTTTTATTAACAAGAAAGATCGACCCTTTGAACGAGGAAGCGTCTAATTTTCCTGCAAATGTAAGCTCTTAGTGAGTGAAGTCTTAATAGCTTAATTATATTCATTTCTTCACAAACCGCCATTTATTACGAAAAACATTCCACTCGATTATGTATTTATAGCATTTTGAATAATCAAAGATGTAACGGTCATTTATTTTGCCAAGGTTGAACAGGTTGCAGATAAATGTACAGTACGCAATGAATCATTTGCTATCATTCAATTCAAAATCGAAAATGTTTCAAGATATACTACAATTCAGAACATTAAATCTCGCGTTAATGTTTTTATTCCAAAAGATATCAATCTGGGAAGTCAGTTCAAGAATGGGGAAAAAAGAGGGTTGAACATTAATAAAAATATTTTTTGTATGTGTTGTCATAGAAAATCAGAGTAATATTGAGTGTGAGAATTTAGACATAACAGAAATAACGAATGCCAATTAATAGGGCTCACTAAATGTGCTTTGTGACTATCCACTCCAGAGCAGTGGCATGTTTAAGTAATAAGCTCATTGATTATTATGTCACAGCTGTTGATAATCTGCAACGAAATGTATCGTTGAGCGATCTGGCTTTATTTGGACAAGGGAAACCGGTATTTTGAAGTGGTGTTATTAAAGTGTTAGCACAAAGAAACACGTTTTCAATTAGCGCCGATTTACTAACAGCATGAATTCATATTTAACCTCTACGAGATTATCTTGCAACAACATAGTTCTTTACGTGGAAACCCTCCGAGGCCTATATGCACTCGGTTTACGGGGATGGTTCACACGTTTCACAATAGGGCGGACACCTGAGCAATGCTTCTTATCAAGAACACCGTTGGCTGGTATCCGGACATACCGGACCGGCCTTCATGGTTTAAGCGTCAATGGATGTCACTGCATTGCCTCCGTCTGGGAGGTACTAGGTTCGAGTCACGACGGCGGCAGGATTTTCTATCCTAACTAGGTAGCGAATGCAGTCACTGTCTGGGGGAGAATTCTAGCGACCGGCTGCACTGATGGGTAGTTTTCCCGTTGTTTCTACGATCAATACCGCGCGAATGCCGGAGC